TTGCAGTGTGGCAAGATCACAATGTGCCACTTCAACCAAAAGAATGCACTTTAAGGGTGTTCCTGGGGAAATGACTAGCACATACATAGACACTAACTTCTGCTCACTGTTTCCATGCCCTTTCTTGACATTAGGAGATATGCTGTCACCTTTTGCAGATCCTGTGAAAGTTTCTTCACCACATACTATACTAAGATTGTATAACAGGATCCTCCCAGCCCAGTAGAACCACCTTGATCCTGGGCCCACTAATCCTAAGAGTGTGGTTTTCCATGACCATCTGCACACACTCAGCTCTTTCACATGGAGACATTAGACACACCATTGGCATCAGGTCCTATCTCAACCTCCAGCCCATGGATCTCTTTTGTTCCTTAGTTCTATGCCCGCTCCTTCCCCCTCAACGTCACACCAACACTGAGAATGACTCCTCTTCTTCTCCTTCAGCCTCAACTAGAATGTCACCTGCTTAGGGAGATGCTCCCTCTTGGTGTCCACTCTGCCCCCTCTCCACTTATTTCACAGATGGTAATCATAAGACTGTGTGCTCATCAATGTGCTATCTCCTCCCCAGGGCTTCTGCAGCACAGTGCTGGGCATAAAAGAGAGGCTATGGATAAAGATAAGAATGAATGAACTTCAAAAATTGAAGAAATAAATACCTCAGTTCTTCCTCAAATGTCGGCCAACATCTCTTCCATCTGTACAAGTAATTTTGTTAAACCAACATAACCGAGAAATTCACCTTGGTCCAAGGGCTTGGTAATTAGAAGTGCATCCATCTGGGTACACAGTAGAGAAACACAGGCGTCCTTGGTATTGGCAAGGGATTGGTTCCAGAACCCCTTCAGATACCAAAATCGATAGATGTTTCAGTCCCTCATTTAAAATAGCATAGTATTTACAAATAACCTGTGCATATCTTCTCATACTTAAGTCATCTCTCATTTATAATACCTAATACAATGTAAATGCTACAAAATTATTGTTAACACTGAATCACTGAATTGTTTAGGAAATAATAACTTTAAAAAAAGGGCAATATGTGTTCAGTGCAGAAGCGATTTTTTTTCAAATATTTTTGATCTGTGATTGACTGAATCTGCAGATATGGGACCTTGAAGTAAAAAGGCACCAATTGCAGGGCTGGGGTTGTAGCTCAGTGGTTGAGCGCTTGCCTTGCATCTGTGAGGCACTGGGCTCGATCCTCAGCACCACATACAAAAATTAATTAATTAATTAATTAATTAAGATTTTTTTTAAAAAAAGCACCAATTGCATATGTACATATGGTATCTGATTGGGATCTCCTATGTGGGGGAAATGACTTAATTATTTCATACAATATTAAGTGTAGTCTACATATATGTATCATGTTTTATATAATACATACTCCACCTATATAAATTACCATAAACAATACCCTTTATATATTTTTCTACAATTTTATTAAAACATGTGCCATGATTACCATATCATATGTAGATCTACCCCATGTTAATAACAAATATATGTCCTTTTCAAAATTAAAAGTACTCACTCTTGCTGAGGTACAACTGTAGCATAGGGATGGCTCGTAGAAGCCATCAGACCACAAGCACTCCTCCCCCACTCCCGCCCCTTAGAGACCAGAGGACTCTGCATAGTGATGAGGATGAGGGAGTGCTTGCTCATCAACAGGTGCAGTGCCAGCGTGGGCTGCGGAGGGACAGGCTGATGTGGCTGAGAGAAGTGGAGGATGCAGCAGGAGGGGAGGAACAGAAAGACAAGTGGAGAGAAGGCAGGAGCCCATGGCTGCATTAGTCAACGACTGCAGTGAGGGGCACAGAAAGTGAGAAGGGCTGCAGATGACGAAGGTAGGGACAGGAAGTCAGGAGAGACAGAGCCTTGGTGGAGAAGCATAGTGGGCAGCCCAGTAGCATCCTGGAAGGGCAAGGTCATGGTCAGAAGGGAAGCTGGCCCCAGGAAGCTTCCTCTTTCCCCTCAAAAAGGGTAGTAAACTTATCCTCCAATGGTTTTGCCACATGGCTTTCCAACAAACGGGAGCATTTGTATGTTTCCAAGTGGGACTTGTTTATCTCCATCTGGAGTCTCAAAGTTCAAAACAGACTTCCAAACAAAGGGACCCTCTGCTCCGCAGTTCTCAGTCCTGTGCTCTGGCAAGGAGGGAGGCAAGGTCCTCGGCTCCCCTGATGATTTTCACAGCCAGGGCTACAGAAAGCCCCACCCCCAGCTTCCTCCTGCGTCTTTCCCCTCCAATTGTCTTGAACATCCTCAGGGGGATAGCTTCCTAAGTTTCTTTTAACCCTTTTCTCCCTATCCTTATAACTGTGCAAGGAAAATGAGAATGTTTCCCCCATGAAAGCTACTGAGCCTCATAGGGTTGTCCAAGATCCAAAGTTCTTTCCTAAAAATCCATCAGCATGCAGTTGGGTGTGTTCTTAAAAAGAACCTACTACAAAAGAACTGGCCAGTTAAGCTCCCTGTAGTTGGAAAATTCTGAAGGCACATTTTCATGGGCACCACTCTATTTCTACCCACCATTGTCACTGAGGGTAGGTATAAGTAGTGAAGGACAGTCCTAATAGCAGACATCAAGACTTCATTTGGCATGTAACACACTATGCATTTTAATACACAAAACACCCAAAAGGTAGATGCTCTCATTATAACCAATTTACAGATGGAGAATAAAAGATAGAAGCTGAGGTTGGTCCTCCAGGAGGGTAGAAGCCTTGTCTGTTCTGTTCATCATTGTATTCCCAGCAGCCCGCACAGGCTTGAAACTAAGTAAGCATTCAATATGCAGTGATTTGTTATACAAAATTACATATAAGAGGAAGTGAGGGGAAAGGGAAAAAACAAGGGGGAGAAATGAATTACAGTAGATGGGGTAGAGAGAGAAGATGGGAGGGGAGGGGAGGGGAGGGGGGATAGTAGAGGATAGGAAAGGCAACAGAATACATCAGACACTAGTATGGTAATATGTAAAACAGTGGATGTGTAACCGATGTGATTCTGCAATCTGTATACGGGTTAAAAATGGGAGTTCATAACCCATTTGAATCAAATGTATGAAATATGATATGTCAAGAGCTTTGTAATGTTTTGAACAACCAATAATAAAAATTAAAAAAATATGCAGTGGTTGAATGAATAGATGAAGGAATACCATTCTTTATTCGACTGTCTGTAATCTGACATTTTTTTTTAACACAGAATCTTTGGGCAGTAAGTAAATACATTCATGAAATAGCTCTATTAACTCGAACTTTCTTGGTGGGGGGAATATATTGAATAAGGAATAAATCTCAATATGACTATGTAGGTAATCTTTAAAGATATCTTTTGGAATAATTTAAATACTTATTAATCACTTATTGTTTTAAAAGCTATTTTAGGTCTCTTCATCTCAATAGCAAAAATCTGTTTGTGAATCCACAGGAATAGCTGTTTAAAAGACTAAGCAAGGGAGTCCATAGCCTAGAAATCTTCATTCTTTCTGGTATCTCAGGGCTTGTTATGTATATGAAAGCCTGAAAATGACTGTGAAGAGGTTAGAGCTATTTTTGCTTCCACCCCACTGGAAAAAAAAACAAAATCTTAAAAGCTATCAAAATGTGTTCCAAATCCACTGACCTTCAATTTACCTAAAGATTCTTTAATTGCTATCATGCTTTGGGGTCATGAGCCATATTAATATTTTCCACTTTGTGTAAGATAGAAATACTGGACTTAATCTAAAAAGTGTTCTTTCTCTAGTTTTAAGAGTGTGGCTACTTTACCTTCCCTGATACGCCAGACTCTAGTGCACTGAGTCACTCTTACACAGAACTGAGCTAAAATTGAGATCTGGTCCAGGTCTGACAAAAAATGCTGAGTGTCATAGATCAGATAACTCAGCTTCTCTGGCCCACTGTTTCCTTGTCTAATAGTTGAGGGTATGAGTGTTCATAGTTGTTTCTTTCTTTTTTTTTTTTTTTTAATTCTGCCTGTGTTCTTCATTAATGTCATCATTTCTATGGACAGGGATTTTCCCGATCTTGTTTTTCAACACTCGAAAGTCACACTTCATTTATCATGAATTACTTTCAGAAGGTGGAGGTTTTAGTAGGAACAGGAATGTAAAGAACCCCACCCTATTTTGGTCAGTTGCGACTAAAAATATTCAAAAAATAAATCTCTATGATACACGCCTATTAGAACTAATTACCAAAATAACAATAATAATAATTTGGGGTAAGAACTAGTTGACCATACAAAAACTAGGGTGGATCCGTGAGTTTAGTCATGAGGTCACATACTACTGCTTTCCTCAAACGGGGAAATGCCTGGGTGGAGGTGCCCAGTCTACCTTAGAGCTGTGTAGTATGAAAATCTAAAAAGATCTGTTGATACCTACTGTTCTAGGTAGTTGGGGGTAGGAGGTTAACCCTGCTGGCAAGACCATTCCTTCATGGAACTAATGTTCTAGTAAGAAAGAGATGAATCAGTGCTAAGAAGGGGCACGAAGAGAAAGGGTGGAAAGTGGGGACATAGGTACAAGGCTATGGGAATCCTCGATACCTCACGCACCGGTCCAGCCGCCTTCTTCAGGGGAGGAAGACCAGGCCCACACAGCAGTGACAAGCTCAAGACTAGACTGCACCCAGCTTCTCAGCACCAGGGCTGGAGTGGGAACCCTCTTCTCGCAAAGTCTTTCCTTCCCAGCCCCTCCCAAGAAGTTTCTTTCCCTCTCGTGGTCTAGCCTGTAGATCCAGTATCAAGAGAGGGAAAAGAAGCACTCAAGCATCCTCTTGTTGGCCCCAGGACACCAGGGTCCCATTCCAAGCCCCAGGTCCCCCGGAGCCAGGCAGAAGCCCAGCGGGGCGGGGCCTCGGACTCGCGCCCGCGCGTCCAGCAGGTGGCAGCAGCGAGCGGCCGCGCCCCCCGCGCTGCCAGCCCGTGAGCCCTCATCATGGATGGCGAGCTCTCCTATTTCGCTTGGCTCGCCCTGGAATCCCAGACCCCAGACGACGGGCAGGATTCATGAGCCGGTCGCAGGGGCCGGGGCAGGAGCCTCTGGCTCCAGACGCTGGCCGAGAGGTGGGTCCCGGGGCGGGTCGCTGCTCCCCGAGGCCGGGCGGGGACGCGCTGCCCCCGCCCTGCCTCCCTGTGGTCCACACCCCCTTTGGGCTCCGGAGCCGCTGGGCTGGAATAGTGCGGGGTGCGCGCGAGCAGGCGCTGCCAGCCCCTCTGCTGCCCGGTGTTCGGGTCCCGGGCGCGGGGGCACCAGGCCGCCGGTGTCCCCGCCTCCTCTCCTTCCTGCTCTCACCTGCGCCTGTTAGTCCACTCGCCTTTAAGGCCAGTGGCTCCAGCCCAGGCGGAGAGGGGACAGCAGAGGGAGAGAGCACCTGAGGATACAGAGCTGGCCCTGGACTGCCTTTTCACCCCCAGGTGATGAGTGAGGTCGAGAGAACGGAAGATTTAAAAAGCAACCGGGGCCTCCGTATTGAATGAAAGACCCAGTGCAAAGGCATCACCATGAACACGAGCAGTAAGTGGATCCTCCTCTCCTTTGCCATGGGAACAGGGGTGGGGGCGGGAGGTGCAGGAGCCTGCGCGGGGCTGCCTGGAAGGAAGAAGGAAGCCTGGCATCTGCGTGGACATCTGACCTCGGACTCCTTTGGGTGCTTTCTGAGCCCTCTGACTGAGGAATGGTTTTGGGGTCTGGCTTTTCGTGATGATTTTGCTAATGTTTAGTCAGCGGCGCCAGTTGCCTCTGTCGGAAAGGCTGCTGCTGTCTCCTTCTAGCAATGCCTGGGAAGGCCTAGGCAGCAGTATGTGGCCATTGTCTGATGTGGGGGCTCCAAGAGACCTCTCTGCACACATCTGGAAAGCCGTGGAGCTCTTATCCATGATCTGCCGAGAGCAGGGAAGCTGGCTTGAGGATGGGTGGGCATGGACAGGCAATGGGATAGAAAAGAACAATTTGATAAACAAATCTTCATGAAGCCACCTTTGAGTCTGGAGGCTGTGAAAGATCCAGTTCCTATGTCCCTCAACCTGGTGAGGCCAGGGCTGGTTTCTCTACCTACCACAAGCTTGTTGGCCACCCTGAGAAACCCAGAAAGGACAAGCCCTTGGGGCCATATTTCTAACATGCCAGAGGCCATAAGTCTTACAGAACCAGAACCAGACATTTTGCTTCTGGCTTGGGCCTCTGCTACAGAGAAATGCATTCAGCAAGACAAGGAGGCAGTCTCTGTCTTCAGTATAGTCCCCTGACTATGAGCACAAATTGGTACCTTGGGAGGGCACAAATGGGTTCAAGTCTCACTCTCCTGGCCCTGTTGTGAGCTTGGCTTGTCTAGGTCACTCCAGCATCAGTTGGAGGGTGTTGATCCAGAGGACCCCTACCAACATTCACTTCCCTGGATCTCTGACTTTGTTATTAGTCCCAACTCTGCATTTCAGATTGTTCATCTGTAACATCACAGAGGTTGTTAGAGACGCGTCTAATCTAAAAATCTACTTTTTTTTTTTTTTTCTGAAATAGCTAGAACTGAAGCAGGGCCAAGAAAAATCAGTACCTTACTGAGACCTTACTCAGCCCAAACCCACTATTTCCTCACCCTCCCTCCATTTCAAGGCCGTTGGCATAGAGAAGAGGAAAACAAAACAAAAGCCACTGAGATGGAAATGAAATATATTTATTTACTATGTGTTTGTGTGACTCATCTCTGCTGTCTTCCTTTGTGTATTGCATATCTATGCTAAGAAAGAGAGTGAGCCTGGACTCCCTCTGCATTTTACAGCCCAAAATTTTGCCTCTTGATTTCGACTGTCTAGAAGGATGGCCTCCTACCAAGCTCAGGAAAGGAGCAAAACCCTGTAAACCCATTCACACATGTTTGCATCTGTGTGCTTGCAGGCAAATAAAGATGTGAATTACTGTCAGTTTTTGCTATCTCTAGGGGTGAAAAAAAGAAAAAAATGTATTTATGGAAGTCTTTTTCCACTAAATGATAAAAGAGAAAAACAGCTCTTCTATTTTTCACAGAACTAAGGAGGGCAATAAGCGACTGATTCTGCACTTTTCAAAAAGAAACTCTTGGTAGCAACACTGAATATTCCTGTAAGAAGGAAGTAGAGATTTTCCTTTTATTTTTTATTATTTTATAACAATCAAGAGAGTTGAATACTGCAGAAGATGAGGACTGGCAAAAATGCCATTCCAGCTTCACCTACTTCCTCTAAGCAGGGAGAGTGTTTATTCTGCAGGAGTGGGAGAAAATAAACAACAATGGCCCAGGTAGCCTCAGGAGTCCCTGAGTTCCCCATGAGAGGAAATGCTTCTGTGAGTGGTTACCTGGGGGGACACTGTGGGGGAGTCTCAGGTTCAGGGCTTTGCCACTGGACTCAATCATTATTGAGGTTCCTCCCAACTCTGAGAGTCTGCAAATGGAGAGACTAGAAATCAGACCTCACAGGAAGGACAAGGCCATGAGGTCACTGGGACAGAGCGTTGACAGGAGGTCCTTAGCAGACCTGATGTAAGCAAACTGCTCCCCTTTGAGAAGTGAAATTTCTTCTGATTCTCACACCGGAAATTGTCCCTAATAGAAACTCCTACTTAGTTTCTGTCTTCCACTTCCAGTCATGGGGACCTTGCTCCCCCCCCCCCCCCCCCCAGCTATGGCCAGGCACTTTCCTGCTGCCTTTCAACCAAATTCTCCCACCAGAGCAGGGGCATGGTATTATTATTCCCCTTGAGTAGGTGACTTCGTAGCTAGTATGTGGTAACTTCAAGTCATACTGTTAACTGTTGGCTTGTGAAAGGTGTTGGGAAGTGTAATGTTTAATAGTGGGTACAATCCCTAATCAGTGGTTCAAATGCCAACACTCAAGAGCAGATGAATCTCGAGCTTGTTTCTAAATTCCTAATCACTTCATCTGGAGAAGAGCAAGGGTTGTAGTCTTTGGGCAACTATAAGAGTTGATAGGGCTCAGGCCCTGGAATCAGGGTGTCCTGAGTTCTGTTCTTTTTCTTAGCTGTGTGGTTTTCAGCAGAGTTGTCTCACCTGCAAAAATTAGAAGGGAATGGAGACTAAATGTTCATGTTTCATGTAAAATACCAAGAGGGGGACCTTCGCTGTGGACATGTCCACAATGGGATAGTCAGGCCACCACAGTTACTCTGGTGATCACTGGGTCCATTAGTCACTGTTGACTTTAGGACATTAGCAAGGAGGCCAGTCAACCTTGAAGATCTCACACCTTCACTATGAATTGAGAAGCATACCCGGAGTGTAATTTTTGAGGATTGAATAGGATTATAAGGAGGAAATGCTTTGTGAAAATGTGTAAACTGTTGTTCTTAGTAAGAAAACCATTTCTCAGTGACAGGAATAGGAACAGGCTCAGTCAGTGACTCCCCAGTGTGAATTTTTAGAATCCTTTCTTCTGAATTCACACTGAGCATCAGTAGGCTAAACAGCAGGCACTTGGGAGACAGGGGTTAACTTGGGGTGGATAGAACAGGGTGGCAGACAGACCTGTTCTGGTCCTCAGAGCCAATGAGGGAGGGGGAAGGAGGGAGACTCAAAAGGCAGGAGCAGGCCACCAAGCTTCAGGAAGCCCGAGCTCCTACCGAGGTCTCCACTTCCTTGGGTGAAGGACTCCAGAGGAGGGCAAGGTAAGCAGGTCAGGGGTGGCACTTTGACTTCTTGGGGTACCTCCATCATCTGGCCCTTCTTTCCTCTTCCATGCTCCCAACCGAATTCCAAGACCTGTCATCTGTCTCCTGACCTCCTGGGGAAGCCCATAACTGGTCTCCCATCACCCACTCCAGCACCTCCTGTCCTCCCCGTCCACTCTCTGCAGTACTCTCTGTGGGGTCCACAGCCTGTCCTTTCTTAACAGCCCCGCCTCTTCCACGTAGCACCATTCTCCCCGCACCTGTTCCAATTGCCTCTTTCCATTCCCTCTAAAGCCTTGCTCCTGCCCACTCTTCTTGGGAAGTCCCCTCCTCACACAGCACCAGCCCAGCTCCTCACCCCCCAGAGCTGCAGAAGTCCTCCCCAGCCTCCCAGTCCAGCTAAACACCCCCTCAGGTATGCCCACAGTACATCTTGCCCTTTCCTTCAGAGCCTGGTCTCTGTCATTACACACTCATCCATGTGGTGAATGCATTGAAGCCCATCTCCCTAAACAGTCAACTCTACAAAAGCTTTGGCTTGTAGCTGTGGTCTGCAGCCCCCAGCCATGATGCATCCTGGGATGTTTCTTTATGCCAGTTTGTACATCGGCCATTTTCATGAACCCAGACCACTCCCTCTCACCCAGTTCAGATCCACAGGGGCACCATCCATCAAATGTACAAGTTCTCAGGCAACCATCAATCTTTCGTTATTCCCTCTTGTCTCTCCCATTCCTAGGTTGACACCAGGAGTTCCAAAACCAAGGGAGCCTAGGTAAACCCCAGTGAGCCAAAATCCCTGATCTGTGTCCTATAAAATGTTATGCTCCTCACCCACAATTCCTAGAGCACCTGAATGCTATGGCTTTCCTATGTACAAAGCCCAGGACTGTTCATCCTCAGGATTGGGTAAGCATCGTGTGTACCATGGACAATGGTACCATCCATCCTCCCTGGTTTCATAGGCTTTCTCCTGCCTCTGAACCTTTCAATGCCTCTGGCTCTTTCTTCACTGTGGATTGGCATGCTGTTAAATTGCTTTTCTTGCAACAGACTTTGCTTTTGTTTAAGAGGGTATTCAAGGACCACGTAACCCCACAAAGGTTTCACAGGACACTAAGAACCTGAGCTTTGTCATATAGATTCCTGAGTTCAAATTCAGGATCTATGATGTATTCTGTGCTCTTGGACAGAACAGATTATTTCTCTGAGCCTGAATTTTATCCTGTATAAAAATGTGAGCGATAAAATGCCAACATGCAAGGTTCTTGTGAGGATCAAGTGGAATACCATGGGTCTCAAGCAAGTGGAGTTGAATCCAAGGTTGAGTTGACATTGAGTCAAGCAAAGTTCTGAAATGACAGTATCATAAAAACCAAAATCTCTGATTGAAAATTTGCCTGTTTTACTGGTACAGTAGCCAGTGCAGGGTTTTGTACATAGGAAAGCCATTAACGTAACAGGAAAATCATTAACCTGGTGTTGTATATGACTTAGGTTGAAAATGGCAAAATAGGAACTTAAGATCTTAAGTGAAGCCGAGCATGGTGGCACATGCCTGTAATCCCAGCAGCTCAGGAGGCTGAGGTAGAAGGATCATGAGTTCAAAGCCAGCCTCAGCAACTTAGTGAGGAACTCAGGGACACCTTGTCTTTAAATAAAATACTTTTTTAAAAGGGCTGGGGATGTGTCTCCATGGTTGAGCATCCCTGGGTTCAATCCCTGGTACCAAAAACAACAACAAGGTCCTAAGGAAGAGACAGTGGCTCTGGTTCAGAAAAGGTATGAGAACCAGGATTTGGGAGGTCATAAGGTAGAAATTGGGGGAAAGAGCCTTTAGAAAATAGACTGCACAG